TTTCCCAGAAAACCACGGGAAAATCCCGCGTAGACAGCTTGTCAGTATAAAAACTCACAATAGCATTCAGAGACTTGAAAATTGGCTGAAATGAATTCTACGACTTTTTCTGAAGGCAAGTTTCCCCTGAAAAGTTTCGGGGTCAATTGAATAAAAAATTTGCGCAATTAGATGAAATTCGAATTGGAAGTGGTCGTGACTGGTGACTAGTCTACAAAGCGTGACTGATTTGTGCATTTGCACGCTTTTCACAAAAACATGTCTACGGCACGGAAACTAATTCAAACTATATTGAATAACAGACTTAAAAACACCTATAAAGAGCTATAACTGATTTTTGATCATAAGGACTACAAAAACATTTGGTTACGTTTTAGAGGTTTGAAAGTTTTTGAAAGCGATTGCATTCAGATAAAAGAAACGTGAGAATTTGGGCTGTGTATCCAATTTGCATTATCTTTCAATCGGGTCAAATTACGACTAAAAATTAATTCCACAACACTTGCAGATAACAAACTACAAGTAACAACATAAGAACTCAGATTTTAGTAGTTTTTCAGACAAACGTAATTCAGACTAACTGGGGCTTCACAATCTGTCACGACACTGGTGCAAAATGCGTACATTAACACAAAGCTTGAATGGTAGCGCTGATGTGGCGTGTTTACAATTTGACGTGACATTTGAGACAATGCACTGCGCACGATAGAATTATTTCTCAGAAATGGAATTAAAATGAAACTGTGATAACAAAGCTTTTTTCCGTAGTATGCCCGGTCAGACTGTTCGACCACACTAAGCTTTTACCTGTCAAAACCTCAAATTTACCGGACAATAATATTATTGTCCGATGACCGACTGTTATTTGCAGGCTTGCCTCTGGGTGAAATAAAATGCAGACTAGAGGCTGTGGTCTAAGAAAAATTGNTGCCACACAGTTCGCCATGGGAACAACTGAGGCACGTTATGTGATTGGTAACTTCTTGTCATGCTACATGACAGAATGGTGAATTAAACCAACAAATTAACATTCAAATGAAATCTATTGAGCTGTAATCTCATAATAATTGAACATGATGGTCTTGTCTGTGCATGAGACCCTAGAGTTTGACCATCATGGATATGAAATGGGTTTTATTAAGGGCCAGGCACCGGACAAATTGGCTGGCTGTGAGGATGATTTTGCCCACCTGGTTTGATCATCTTGAGGAAAGTTTTTCTTAAGGAGAAGTTCAGTTAAAAACGGTTTTGCAGTTTTTCTTACAAAGAAGTTCAGTTAAAAAAAGGTTTTGCCTGCTTTGGACACATAATCAGTCATAGTTCACTTGATTCAAAATTTACCTGATTTATGAGTCTGAAGTCGTGACTAACTAACACCAGTCCTCCTTCAAAGTCATTGATGGCATCTGCTAAAGCATCAATTGTCTCCATGTCCAAGTGATTTGTAGGTTCATCAAGTAACAGGAGATGAGGTGCTTGAAAAGCCAGCCAAGCAAACACCACCCGACAACGCTGGCCATCAGATAAGTTCCGCATGGGACAGATCTGTAGTTTTGATTGCAAAATGCATACATTAACACTAAGCTTGAATGGTAGCGCTGATGTGGCGTGTTTACAATTCGACGTGACATTTGAGACAATGCACTGCGCATGATACAATTATTTCTCAGAAATGGAATTAAAACGAAACTGTGATAACAAAGCTTTTTTCCATAGTATTGTGTGGCAGTATAATAAAATAACTTGTTTCATATTTGGTCACAAATTTCCAGTTAAAATATTTTTCGTTTAGCAGAAAAGCCCGGTCAGACTGTCCGACCACACTAAGCTTTTACCCCTCAAAACCTCAAATTTACCGGAAAATTGTCCGATGACCAACTGTTATTTGCAGGCTTGCCTCTGGGTGAAATAAAATGCAGACTAGAGGCTGTGGTCTAAGAAAAATTGTGAGGAGCCAAAGGTTCCTAACCATGAAATCCTGGGTGCCCAGTACTAAGCTTATATAGAAAAAGTAAGTTTTTCCAGTCGTTTGAAGGCAAAAGTTAGTTGCCTGTGGCACCCTGGAGCTTCTAGAGCACAGCCCCCAAGACTTCATAAGTTAGGATCACAATATCTCAAGGCTGTGGTCTAAGAAAAATAATAAGGAGCCCAAGGGTTCCTGACCATGAAATCCTGAGTGCCCAGCAACAAGCTTTTATGAAAAAAGTAAAATTTTCCAGTCACCCAAAGGCAGGAGTTAGTTACATGTACTTGTGGTACCTGGGACATGCTAGAACACAGCCCTGTATCTCCTTCAGTTTTACACTCTAAGAGCTGAGTTTACATTACTAAGTTTCAAATGTTTCAAGACAATTTGTATCAATTATTATGATGCAGTCTCTCCACAAAGTTATATGCTGATGTGGCAAAATGTAAACAACATTTGGCATCAGCAAAGACTCCCGTATAAGTTTTGAAACTGTCTCAGGTGTAAAACTCAASTTTAGGAACACTCCATTTGGGTGAGTCACTCTCACAAGGCAATCACCTACTAGATTAGTTTTCAATTTCCCAAAAGGTATTCTTCCCTCTCCCACACTGTTTCGATAAGGATGATGATACATCACTACAAACCTGTTGTTTTCCTGTCAGCCCGTATCGCCCTATCGACTTTCGCATGTCCTCAACCTCCTTAATTTCAGGAAAGCACTTCATCATGAATGAAAGGGCTGACATGTCCAGTTCTAACATATCTTGGAGATGCTGTGAGAGAAGACATTGTCAAAAAAAAATTGACCTCCCACACGTGTTCATGTAGAACAGAAAATGGAAACAAAAAAAAAACAACTCAAAACAAAACAAACAGACAACCCCTGGTGACATAGTTCAAACATTTTGGGATTGAAGAATTTCCTCAGGAGCTTTCTATCATGCAGACTGATGTGGTTATTGATTAAAGAAAACAAGTAAAGTCACAGTGTACAACTTTCTCTAACTTTGCTTCATGATTTAATAGTTACATGTAAATAATTTAAATATTGAGAAGGTTTTGTCAAACCTGATGATAGCGGCAAATCTTAAGGTGATTATGCCTTCGTATGAGCCCATCAGTAGGTGTCAACGTCCCATCAAGCAGTTTCAGCAGTGTAGACTTTCCTGCACCATTGGGTCCCACTAAAGCTATTCTGGACTCCAAGTCAATTCCAAAGTCTAAGTCCTTGTAAATGGCAGGCTGAATGAAACAGATAAAAATACATTGAATGTTATGATTTAATAAGCAACAAATGTAATCAAACCTTTTCACTGCAAACCATTCTCTAAATAGACAGCAAGTACAGTTAGATCTACCGTATTTACCCATGTATAATGCGCACCCATATATAATGCGCACCCTGATTTTCCGGACAATTTTTGAAAAAACANTATTCATGCAAATGAGTGTAGCGGTGTAATCAACAAACAAAAGGTTCCGCATATAATGCGCAGTGCAAATTTCGAACTATAAATTTTGGAAAAAAAGTGTGCATTATACACGGGTAAATACGGTAAGCCCCAAAACAATGTGGAACTGGAGGCGGGGAGGGGGTTAGGGGTTTAGGGGGTGGGAACACTATGGGAGGTGGAAGGAGAGAAAGCAGGAAGTGGTGATTGAGAGAAAAAAGAATCATGGAAGGGATTCGCCCCTCTGCAAATTCCAATTAAGCTTCATACATTTCTTCAAAATGTTTGAGTCTTTATGAATCCCCCCCTCCACCCTCAGGAAATTCCAATCCCTTTTGTGGGTGGGGGAAGGGTAATATGGACATACTCTTACACATATTTTGCAATTTAGGAAAAGTACCAAGACCCCCAGTTCTTCCCTGTCCCTCTACAGTACTGGTATAGCTAGCTATAGAGAAGTGATCTACACAGAGACAGGGGGACAAATGTAAGTATCATCTATTACTAGAAAACAATTATTGCCTTGAGGTCACGCAAAAACTCAGAGGAAACATTAGGATTTATATACAGCAAAGAACAAGGAGCATTGATATTGTGAACTAGCACTTAGGCAAGGACAGATTGAGGGTTAATCACACCAGACATTTCAGTTTTCTTTCCTTTCCTTTTCAATGATAATTCTCTCACAGGTACATGTATTGCACTGTGACTTCTGACTTGTTACCTTATCTTCACCATAACTGAAGCTCATGGTTTGTACTTGGACCACAGGAGGGGCAAGCTTGCCACAGTCAGGAAAATAGAATGTCAAAACCTGCAGACACAGAAAAAATGGTTAACATGTCACCATTGATACACACAGACACATAAAGGGCAAATGGTGCTACTAAAGGATGCTGGAACTAGTAAGATTTCTATTGTACGAAGTACCCTCAGAAGGAATGTTACAACCAAAGAGACAATTAAGTTGCTTTCCATCATAATCATGGTGATCATTTTTTGGCATTATTAGTGATTTTTGAGAAATAACTGCAAGTTAGAGAAGACAATATGCAACACATGTAAGTTTAACACACTAACTATTAACCTGTCTTGACAGCACTCATAAAAAAATGGTTGTTCAGAAACAGAAGGAAATCCTGATAAAAAGGACTCAAATCCCAAAGGGAAAGACTGTTTCAATGTTTTTATACTCTGAAATGCAAAGAGGATAAAGATCAACCCATTTATAACAGTTGCAGACGAAAGTACATGTTCTGAGTGCAATGAAGGCATAGCTTGATACCAGAATACATGTACAAACATTTTGGACACATTAATGCAACTGATCCACTCGATCATTATCCTCTATTTGCTAATTAAATGACAGCCACACTTTAGAGCTTGGAGATGAATAAAGGATTAAGAAAAAACTAAGGCAGTTCTCATTACCTTGTCCTTAGTGACTTTTTCAGTGAGTCCGTTGGCCACCATCTTACCAAGAACCTTTTCTTTACTTTGTGCCTGTCTTGCGAGTTTGGCGCTACCATGACCAAACCTGGCAATGTAGTCCTACAGTTAAATCAAAAACAAAAGAAGGAATATGATGAAAGGATAATAGTGAGTATAACTAAATGTACTTTCAGCTGCTCTTCAACTGTTTATATTGAATGAAATACATGTACTTTATCTTTTATCAAAAAGTAAATTCTCTTATTAATAGTAACTAAATACTGAAAAATTCAATTAAACTAACTGACTAAGTAAGACATGTTTAAATTACATTATGTATAGCAACAACAGTAAGGAGAATTTCAACTTGAATCCGTTGGGGGTGAGGACATATTTAAATTCAAATAATTAATTCTCATGCATTTTTTGTTACAGTAAGTGTACTTGGACAACACACCACAGTAAGGCACACAGCTGGCTTAAGAAGTCAGTGTTGTTAATAAATCGCTTCAGGCGTTGTGTCCATTGCAGCTTCTCAGTACAACTGACAGCTGCTAAAACTCGGCCTTTTAGGTCATCATTCTTCTATCGCCAGATAAAAATACCATTTTCATGTAGTACACAGTTGTACACTCAGGTTAGTTGAGCTCTGGTTAAAAAATCTCTGTCACTTAAAAACATACCTTCATGTGTTTTATTTGTTCTTGTTCTCTGCTGTACTGTTTCATCTGATTCTCTTCAAGTTCTGCCCTTGTTTTGACATAGGAGTCATAATTACCCTTGAATAGGCAGAAATAAAACACGCATTAATTTATTGTGGATTTATTACATGGATATACGTGTAATGAGGTACACACAATATCTAATTTTCTGATAAGAATAAACTCCTTTTTTAAATCAAAGTTTACTGGTATTCATAGTAGGTTACACCTTTGAGTTAACAAAAAGATACTTCTTTAATTAAGTAACTAAATCCAGGACTACAGCTTGATTGGTCACAGATATGGTGTGCCCAGAATAAATTACCTTTCCAGTATCTCTCAGACATGCCTCTTAAGCTGATTCAATAACATTGATTCTACCGTTTCCCTACAATTTGTGGAGGCACGTTGGCCTCATGGTTACTGCACTCAAGCTTTTAGCCAGATGGTCGTCCACCCGTCATGTGGACGGCCAGGTTTTAAAGAAAATTGCTTTATTTTCCATATACATCTTGCTTAATAAATTGTTCTTTTTTAGCAGGCCCTATAGCCCAATTTCAATAGCCATATTTCAAATCCTGACTAAACGCCGGAGTGAACTTGACTCCTGATTTCTGGGTTTGAGCCCTGGACAGGGATATTGTGTTGAATGTGTTCCTGGGCAAGACCCTTTACTCTCACAGTGCCTCTTTTCATCCAGGTGTACAAATGGGCGCTGGCAAATTTAATGCTGGGGGTAATCCTGCGATGGACTAGCATCCCATCCAGGAGGGAGTTGAAATATTGTTAGTCACTTCATGCTACAGATGCTGGGATAAGCTCTGGCCTGTCAGGCCATTTGGCTCATATGCAGACTTAACCTACCTTTACCTTTCTCTACAATGGCTGTGTCACAATAATTGGTAGTTAAAAGTATATACACTGGAATCCCAATTTTTAACTTTTTAATTTTTTTTCTTACCCCATAATACACAAGCTTCTGTTTGTGCATGTGTATAATGTTAGTACACACTCCATTAAGGAAATCCTGTGAATGCGATATTATCACCAATATCCTCTTGTAACTGCAAGAAATGCATTGTGTGAATGATTTACAAGTTACAGTAACTACAGCGCAAGAAACAGAAGATAATTCCAGTCTGTGTTTCTTAATTTAGTTACAAACAAAAGCAGAAGATTTCTATTTCTTTCTGAAACCCTGAAAAAAAGGAAGGAAAATCACTTATTTAAATTTTGATTAATCACACATCATATAAAATTATCTTTGCTATTGTAATTGCCATCATCACATCAATAGCTTGACATATGTTCCTTCTGTGTTTCTATTGAGTTAATTGCTTTCAGAGTGCACACTCTTATGGGGTGTTTTCTAAAGCTTTAAATTAAATTCATCTGTAAAGGTAGTCAGACAGACAGTCAGTCAGTCAGACAGACATTCATTCAGTCAGAAAGTAAGTACATCAGTCAGTCAGGCAGGCAAAGCTATTATCAACATGAAATTAACAGGTCTCACTTTTTAAGCTCTTCCTCTAGCCACACACAAGCATCCAAATCCAGATGGTTTGTAGGCTCATCCAGCAACAAAAGTGTGGGTTTAACAAAAAGGGCTCGTGCCAAAGCGATCCTCATTCGCCAACCTCCAGAAAAATCTTTTGTTTTTGTCTGTTGCATGGAAGGCGTGAATCCAAGACCATCAAGAATTTCAGCAGCTCTGGTCTCTGCTTTGTCTGCATCAAGGTCATCAAGCCTTTCAAAGATATCTAATAATCTAAAAGAATATACAATTTCTTGGCTTCATTACACCACTACTGGAGTGTATCTACATCTTCCTTGCAATAATATTGCTATTTAAAGAAACAAAGTATTGCAATTTAAGCTTAGTGGAACATAAATTAATTTTACAATTTAAATGAAACAAAATTAAAATAATTATACATTAACATAACATGGTTAAGAATCCCAATTGGCAGAGGCAGACCAGTTGACTATTTATAAGTGCGGTTGAGGAGTTGAACTTGGGAATACATGTATGCGAACAACACCAGCTATAATCAGGTCCGGATGCCCCTTTACCACTTGGCCAGACTTAACTGTACAGAGAGTCACCAGTGTAGGAGAACATAGTGGGAAAGAAATCAGAAATTAAACGAAATGGCCAGAAACAAGAGATCAGAAATGTCAGGACATTCAGAAGCTAATCTCTGTAGAGTGGAAGGTCTTTAAGTCTAAATCTCAGACATTTGTGTGGAGGAAGAATAAATACTGTGCACAAAAAGTTAAAGAGCGACATCTGTTTACTGCATCCAACAACCTTGCACCCAGAGACTTTGTTCCCCTTGACCAGAAACAAGTGACCCTGGAAGGATCTAATTTGAAGACTGAAAATAAAAGACTTCTGTTTGAATTGTGCATGCCTAGCTAACAAACTTGTGCCTCGATCAAGGTGCTGGAGTTTCACTTCTGCTCATTTCCATTCTTTTCAAAACCAATCAAAATCGAGCCTGTAATTTAACTCTCAAGAGTTGCTTGTTTCATCAAACTTACGCAGTACGCATTGAAGACTTGAGGAATGAGAATGTGCATCAAACAGAACAATATGCAACCTTGTACCTTTCACTTCCTTCATCCCCTTGCTTTGTGAGCTCAGCAGCCTCAGCTTCAAGACGGGTTCTCTCCTCATCAACTTCCATAACACACTGAAGCGCTGTCTTATCTGACGCTTCCATCTCATTCTTAAGATGAAATATGTCAATATGGTTAGGAATTGGGATGTCTCTGTTTCCTATTGTTTCCAACATGGTGGATTTACCTGCATAGACAATAAAAACGACCAAAATACATAAAATGCCTGCATTTAAATATTACAGTGGAACCCTGCCTTACGGCCACCCTGTTAATATGGCCACCTCATTATTACGGCCATTCTGGGCCTAACAAAGCTCAGTCAGTCATTGTCTTATTTAAAGAACCCTTTAATACCGCCACCCTGTAAATACGGCCAGATTTTTGTGGTGTGTGGTTGAATGGATTAGAGGGGTTCCACTGTATTATTATTATTATTCCATGCCTGTTCGTTGGATATGATATGGTACATGTATGTGTAAAGAGGCAATAAAACATAGTGTCAAGTTAGCTCTATTCATCCAAATATCTAAGAGGGACAAATGAGTAATACTACATGGCTAGCTTCCCAAGTAGGCCAGATGAATAAAATCCGGTGCACTGTGATTGGCCACCCGAGTGGGGAAGATAGGGCTATCTTGCTGCTTGGAATTACCCACAGTGTCTGCAGGGGTTTCATTAATGCTCTCAGCAGGAGGCCAACTGATTTTCACAGGTGGGCAAAAACTATTAGAACTGAACTTCTTTGTACGAAAAACTTTTGACTAATTGGTCAAACCAGGCAGGTAAAATTGTCGTCACAGCCGGTCAATTGCCCGGTGCCTGGCTCTTAATGAAACCCCTGTATCCATTAAGAAAAAGGTGTTCTGTAAGCCACATAATAAACCTCCAATGATCAAGCTTTCTTGGTCAAGATGGCTGGATATTGGCCTCATTCTTGTTTTTGCATGTTTATGGACTTGACTGAATCTCTGCCCAAAAATATGCAAAATGGAACCTACATAGGCAATATATATATCCAGCCATCTTGACCTCACACTTGGTCAATATATAACCCATACTTAATTATTGTTCAACCGATAAAACAACAACAACAAACTGTTGTTGAATCTTGCTTATTTCATTTTTTGAAATGAGACAGTAGGACAATTTTTTTGTTGATCAAGTTCATCAAGCAGTTGTTTAAATNTTGGATATGATATGGTACATGTATGTGTAAAGAGGCAATAAAACATAGTGTCAAGTTAGCTCTATTCATCCAAATATCTAAGAGGGGCAAATGAATAATACTACATGGCTAGCTTCACAAGGAGGCCCGATGAGTAAAATACGGTGCACTGTGATTAGCCACCTGAGTGGGGAACATGGGGATATCTTGCTGCTTGGAATTACCCACTGTGTCTGCAGGGGTTTCATTAATGCTCTCAGCAGGAGCCCAACTGATTTTCACAGGTGGGCAAAAACTATTAGAACTGAACTTCTTTGTATGAAAAACTTTTCACTAATTGGTCAAACCAGGCAGGTAAAATTGTCGTCACAGCCGGCCAATTGCCCGGTGCCTGGCTCTTAATGAAACCTCTGTATCCATGAAGAAAAAGGTGTTCTGTATGCCACATAATAAACCTCCAATGATCAAGCTTTCTTGGTTAAGATGGCTGGATATTGGCCTCATTCCTGTTTTTGCATGTTTATGGACTTGACTGAATCTTGGCACAAAAATATGCAAAATGGAACCTACATAGGCAATATATATATCCAGCCATCTTGACCTCACACTTGGTCAGTAAATAACCCATACTTAATTATTGTTCAACTGATAAAACAACAACAACGAACTGTTGTTGAATCTTGCTTATTTCATTTTTTGAAATGAGACAGTAGGACAATTTTTTTGTTGATCAAGTTCATCAAGCAGTTGTTTAAATCCAGAGGCTGGGTTGAAATATACATGTATCAAAGGAAATTCACCAACTGCGCAGACCCGTAACCTACAAACATTTGGCAGACCAGTGTTTAATGGCTCTACTCTACTAAAATTCCTCCCAATACAGGGCTCGAAAAAAAACTTGAATTCRAATTTGCCCTTGGGACAAGTATCTCTCAAATTTTGCTTGCCCATGGCAAGTCTTAGTTTGCCCTTTTAATGATTTAGTTGGCAGATGACTTGCTTGGTCTCTTGCCCATTGGGCAAGTGAGAATGTAAAGTTACTTGCCCAGAAGGAAAATCTACTTGTCCGGGGCAATGGGACGGCACTTTTTTGAAGCCCTGTAATAACACAGCGTACGGTACATGTAATGACAAGGTCATAAGGTATAATAATGCCTTTCACAAACGAGTGTAAAGCTAAATAGACCGAAAGACAAAAAAAATAAAGGAAAAGAAAACGGCAAATGTATCCCATTTTACTTTTGTAAGGAATCGAGATTAAATTCGGTTGTATAAATTCGACGTCTCACCAAGAAGGAATTAGATAAATGTCGACAAATTTAAGCTTAACTTGAATTATAAACAGAATCTAGATTATCAGCTCCATGTACACGGATCACTTTAACTTAAACTGAATATCATTTTCCGAGAAAACTATGGAAAAACAGATTTTTTAAGATGGCGAGCGAGCCATTACAACATGATGCATTATGGTGAAGAATTCGAAGGACTTCGAATACGGTCCGGAAATATTGTCAGAAGACTTTGCTTGCTTCAACCGCTCACTGACTATTTCATTCGAGACGAATAAACAGAGAAATTTGAAATCGAAATGTTTGAAATATGTATCTCTATTCAAAATGCCTTATTAGTACTTCGACGATCCAGAATCTGGCCAGAAGAAATTTACCACGCGCCATGTGTTGAATTGGAAAAAACAACGAAGCACGAATAACTTACCACATCCATTTAGTCCCAATAATCCGTATCTACGGCCACAGTTCAACTCGAGTTTTGTATCAGTTAAAAGTTCAACGCCATGGAAAGTAATAGAATAGTTTTCAATCTTCACGTCTCGCGACTGCTCGTGTGAAGCCAAAACGCCGGTGCACGAACGGTTTGACAAATCCAACTTTACGGAGGCGCCATTTTCTGTCGCGCTCGAGTTTTCAACTCCATTTTCTGTTGAATCTGCCGCCGGTTTTGGCTTGCCTCTGGACTGAGCGGCAGCCTTTTTCTTTGCTTGACGTTTTTTCGCTGCTTCTGAAGGCATAGTTATGTTTCCCGGCTAAAAAATTTGAAAAAATTTCTGTTATGAGGAACACCAGTGCAAACAAAAATTTATCACGATTGCGCCACAGATAACATGTGCAGTATATTCTTGTTTCCAGGTCCTCTCAGAATATTTCAGTCGAAAGAGTCTGGATTTGATTTTCACTTAGCCGCTGACACGGTTAACCCGCTGACACCGCCATGGTGCCGCCATGTTTCCATGACTACTCGCCAGAGTTGAGAGATTTCAAAATGGCGGTGGCTCGCACTAGACCGATGGTTTCGGAAAGTTTTGATAGTTATGTGGCGCCTGTGATCAATAAACCAGTGCCTAATCATCTCCTGGAAACAAGTAAGTGTATTATTGAGTGAAAAACACTTGTTAATTGAATTTTCGTACGGATTTCCCTGTGATTTTTGACGGTCGACTTCACAATATTTTTGGTTTTGCAGAGATATATGCCAAAGTTGGTCAGAACTCTATTTTGCAAGCCAAACCTTCTGTGGTTCACTTTAGTGGATTTCAAGTTGGTGAAAAAATTACCAAAACCCTCGTGAGTGTCATGTTCTATTTTAGTGCCCGTTTAATGTCATTTAACTTTGTCTATATGTTCGTGTAATTCATAAACAAATGCAAATGAAAAATCAAATGCAAAAGGCCGAAGTACAAGTAATTTCTTTCATGTAAGTAGAGTCATAATAAGTTCTGAAATCAAATTAAATCTCCTGCTAGATTATTAGAATATCTAAGAATACTACTGTGTTGTTCTTGACTCATGTNTTTATGTTTTCCAGGAATTGTGCCAGGCAATAGTAAGGTGGAAGTAAAAGTGACATTTACACCAATGGACTTCTCAACTGCTCACATGAAGCTTCAGGTAAATGTGTGGAACCAATCCTATGGGCAAATTTATGGGGAAACATTTTGGGCAAGCTAGATAATGCATTTATACAGTGCTGTTTAAAATTGTCTTCTTTCTTTTTGGCAATTCTCGTAATAAAAAAGTCTCTCCATCCATGTATTGGCTTTTGCTTATTGTGAGTGTTAGATTGCCTATCAGTTGGCTGTTCAAATAATTTGATAATTTATTAAGACTTATCAAGGCCACAGGGATTCCTAGAACAGTGCAGATGGAACTTCATATTGTCAAGTGCACCAAGGCAATTTGTGGTTAAAATTTGTAGTTCACATTTATACTGTCTAATACCTTCCCATGTTGGTGATTTTAGCTTTTCTGTCTAATGCCTTCCTGTGTTGTCTATTTTAGCTTTTGGTCTCCCAGTTTAATATGTCTCCACTTGTGTGTTCTTTCACTGGAACTTCTGAACCAGGACTTGCAAAAAGGTATATCGAAATTAAACCTAACATTATATGAATTAATTAAATTGTATCTATTTTAAAATTTAATTTCAATAACTGGTATGGCATACGTGTAAGTAATGTAAATTGCATGTGTGTGATTAAATCTTATATTTAGCACTAAACATTGTCTGGTGTCATCATGTGCAGGCTGCACCTCTCTGACATTGCTTCTAGCTCACTCATCCACTTTAGAGTATAAATGAGTACAGGTATAAATTAAGGACAAATTAATAGATTGAGCTGTTAGCCTTTGGGTGATTAGCAGATTTATAGATTTAGATCCAAGCTAATTGTGACATCATCAATTTGTGCATCATAGTTTTCCTCTTCAAAATTGTGACAATTATAGTCATTGAGTAACCTTTCACTAAACATGGCATGTCATCTGATAATAATGTATCAAAAATTTTTATAGTGGGACTTTCCATCGACTTTTCTTTCTATATCTACAGATTAAAAGAAAAAGCTTGGACAGAAGAATTGCCACCCCTCCCTCCAAATGGCATCCTAGATCCAGTGTTGATTGATCCTCTTGGTAGGACAAGACTGAAAAAACTCAAGACCAGACTTTGGACTCCAGGAAAGCCACAGGTTTAGAGATATTGTCCTGACTTACAATCTTTCTCAGTGGAAATTTGAGCAGTTGACATTAGAAAAAGAAAGAAAAACATGGGACTGTTCATTTAACAAATCAAATTACTCTAGTAACTCCTAATAGTACAAAGTTTATCTAGATTCAGTATTCAGAGTGGGAGCTTTTTTTAAACCAGCTTATTGGTTGAGTGGGTGTCAAGCCAGCGAATCTTGGAGAAATACTTTTTGTGACAAGTTGAAATTCACCATGACACTGACAACTTAAGTATACAACACAAACCTTTGCCACATTGATTCAAGGGTGAGTTGTGTAAACATGTACTGGTATATGCTAGCATTGCTTAACTGTGGTCTAGGCTGGCATCTCAACCTTATTGTATAGGGGTTATTGTATAAGGGCTCAGGTATGAAAGAGGTACCTGGCTCACATTGCATGTACAAGGTAACACATAATGTTATGATTNAGTTTTCCTCTTCAAAATTGTGACAATAATAGTCATTGAGTAACCTTTCACTAAACATGGCATGTCATCTGATAATAATGTATCAAAAATTTTTATAGTGGGACTTTCCATCGACTTTTCTTTCTATATCTACAGATTAAAAGAAAAAGCTTGGACAGAAGAATTGCCACCCCTCCCTCCAAATGGCATCCTAGATCCAGTGTTGATTGATCCTCTTGGTAGGACAAGACTGAAAAAACTCAAGACCAGACCTTGGACTCCAGGAAAGCCACAGGTTTAGAGATATTGCCCTGACTTACAATCTGTCTCAGTGGAAATTTGAGCAGTTGACATTGGAAAAAGAAAGGAAAACATGGGACTGTTCATTTAACAAATCAAATTATTCTAGTAACTCCTAACAGTACTAAGTTTATCTAGATTCAGTATTCAGAGTGGGAGTTTTTTTAAACCAGCTTATTGGTTGAGTGGGTGTCAAGCCAGCAAATATTGGAGAAATACTTTTTGTGACAAGTCGAAATTCACCATGACACTGACAACTTAAGTATAAAACACAAAACTTTGCCACATTGATTCAAGTGTGAGTTGTGTAAGCATGTACTGGTATATGCTAGCATTGCTTAACTGTGGTCTAGGCTGGCATCTCAACCTTATTGTATAGGGGTTATTGTATAAGGGCTCAGGTATGAAAGAGGTACCTGGCTCACATTGCATGTACAAGGTAACACATAATGTTATGATTATTGTCTATGTTACTAGGCAGTAATACCGGTAGATTCAAAATGCTTTAACACCCAGCCAAATTTCAAGGCTCAACATGTTTTCTTTTCTTTGCTGTCTGAAGGAACTGGTCCAAGATGGATTAAGATTTCCAGTTGTTGGTCTTGATAACCCATCTACAGTTTCAAACATTCTTCTGCAACAGCCTGGAAAACTGAAGGCAAAACAGCTCAGAGAAGGTGAGCCATTTTCTTGAATTCAAAATGAATCCCATAAGAGATTGTTCTGGACTTAATTTATTGGCTAGTTGTAGTATAACATGTGCATTGTACTGTCCTTACACGCATTGCAGACCTATGATTCTACTCTACGATTTGTTATATGCAGTGGAATCCTGATTTCTCAGACCCTCATATTTTGTTAGAACCTTCCAATAATTTGAACCAAAGGTTGTTTCCCTCTCCTCAGTCGAACACTGTAATTTTACACGTATTTCTCAAATTTTCCGATTTTTTTAAACCAATTTTCATTTACCTTGGAGGTTTGAAAAATTGGGATTCCACTGTAACTATATAAAACTCTTCAATGGGAGATTATTTGCCTGATTGGCTCATTTAGTTAATGACAAGGCCTGAATTGCTAGTCAGCATTGTAATATTTTTTCTCCAGCTATGAGAAAGGTCAGCACACGTGGCAGACCTCAAAACCTTGTGCTCTTCTGACAAGAAACTGTACATTTATGCATGTACTACGAGTACATCACTTTCACTACACAGGGCAACAACTAAATCTTCAGAACAGAGATTGCTGATCTGTAATTTAAAATGTTTTCCTTTCAGCTGTTCAAACCAAGAAAGATGTGAGTGGAAGCACAAAACAAATGAAGGTAAGTTAATTTAATAAAAATAATTCATGTAGAAGTACTCAAGAGCATAAATCAAAGTACATTGTACAGTGTAGTTTTCTGACTTGGTTGATTATTAACTTAAAGAGAAGGTAATGATTAGACTTCAAGCCTAGGTTGGAATATAGTCAATGAGGTCTAGCCAAGTTGAGTTTTGCTACTTTTAAAAGTTCAAGTGGTCTGTTTGTTTTAGTTTACTTTTAAAGTTTAGAGATCATGAGACCTACAGTACAAGTCTTAGCATTTTTAGCCAAAAAAATAGGAATTCTTTTCTAAACCATAAGCATACTGTCAGGGGGGCTGAGGGGGCTGCAGACTGCCCCCCGACCACCCTCCCCAAAAAAATTTGGGCACACCAGTTTTTTTGTGCCCATATGCCTATGAGGGCAACAGACATACAATAGGCCCTTTGCANGTTCCCTGGGAGAGTTCGTGACTGACTGGAGAAAAGGAAAATTCACCAGAGAACATACGAGTAAGAGAGTGCTTTTTGCCGAGATTTTTTACTCTAGCATCCGTGTTAGTCCTTTAAATTTCTCTTAGTTGAAGGTCACCTATAATCTAATGACAAAATTGTGACGGAGCGGCAAGGAAGTAAAAATGTGTGTAAAGAAGGAACGGCTAAATTTGCAAAACGTTTTCAACGTTTCTAGTTATCGGTATTCGCATTTTTCTATACGTTTTAAACATGTATCCTATCTACATTGCACTGACGATGGATACGGCCGATACATGTTTCGCAAGTTTAAAAGTGTCGTCTTTTCTAAATTTTAACAATGGGTCAATTGCAGCTCTACATAGAACATATACATGGTCGTTATTTTAAATTGTCACGTTAAAACCTTGTTCTTGATGTCAGTGGCCGTTTTTTGTTTTTGTTTGCCTAACTGTGTTCGTTGGTCTGGTCGGGTTTCACTGGGAAGAAAAACCTCTTTCACTTAGTTTGGTTGATCAAGTGACTCCTTCAGTGATAATGGCCTTCTTCAAATACCAGCAAATTTTAGGCGTAAATTGGTAACTTTCCTTTCGATCTGACTTATGGTCAGTGAAAATTGGTTTGTAATCTGTAGAAAGTTGAGGAGTTGTTGTCTCCTCCTTGGGTGCATGGCGATCCTCCTGAGTTAACGTACTACTTGTTTTCATGGTTCCCAGGAAGTCAACTCGCCGAGAGTGAAGAAGAGAAACTATTCGACGAAGTTCAAGTTCCGTTGCGGATCAAGTGTGAAGGAATTTCCCCTTTCTGTTTTCCTTCTTACAAGTCTCCTGATACTAAAGATGACATGGTATGTTTGTCTAAACATTTCTACAGTCGTCATTCANCTAGAAGTATTTCTACTCCCCCTAGTCCATCGCAAAATCTAAAGAAAACATGTACACAAAGCTGTTGAAAAAAGAAGAAATAACAGAAATCTAAGAAAGCTAAGTCATATGGATAGTCCAAATTAAACACGATTCATTGGATTTAGCGCATCAGAATTAAACTTGTACCGATGAATCATGGAAGTTTTGTATGAAACCATGGTGAATGTAATGCAGAGTTCTTTCCTTATAGTTATTGTAACCAATGCCAGTTATCTGGATCATGTGTTATATATTTTCCTCTTTGAAAACCAAGGTCATTATTTGAACACTTACTGTTTCAGAATCCCGCTCCTGGCCTACAAGTGTTCAAACCTCCGCTGCCTTACGCGGAAGTGGATGAAGATTACCATTTGTGTCCTTTGCCGCGAAACAGAACAGCAGGAAAATCAGGCAGACAGGGGAGGAAATATCTAGAGAGACAGGTGAATACCACTGATTCTTGACTTGGGCGACTTATAACATATTCTCTTTGATATGCAAAACACCCCCCTCCCCCCCGCCCAACACGGGGCCTGTCAATTCAAGGCGAAAGGCTTGTGAGTGCTTATTGGAAGGGAAGGGGCAATATTTGGACTGCACTTCGGAGNAGCATTATTTCTGATAAAGACTAGCACCAAAATCTAAGGAAAGGTAAGGTTAAGTCTGAAATCGAGTGGCTCATGCCGGTTTAAGTAGCATGAAGCGACTTGAAGTATTTCTACTTCCCCTAGTCTATCGCAAAATCTAAAGAAAACATGTACATAAAGCGGTAGAAAAAAGAAGAAATAACAGAAATCTAAGAAAGCTTAGTCTTATGGATAGTCCAAATTAAACACGATTCATTGGATTTAGCGCATCAGAATTCAACTTGTACCGATGAAACATGGAAGTTTTGTATGAAACCAAGAAGAACGTAATGCAGAGTTCTTTCCTTATAGTTATTGTAACCAATGCCAATTATCTGGATCATGTGTTATGTATTTTCTTCTTTGAAAAGCAAGGTGATTATTTGAACACTTATTATTTCAGAATCCCGCTCCTGGCCTACAAGTGTTCAAACCTCCACTGCCTTACGCAGAAGTGGATGAAGATTACCATTTGTGTCCTCTGCCGCGAAACAGAACAGCAGGAAAATCAGGCAGACAGGGACGGAAATATCTAGAGAGACAGGTAAATACCACTGATTCTTGACTTGGGGGACTTATAACATTCTCTTTATTGTGCAAAACACCTCCCCCGCCCAACACGGGGCCTGCCAATTCAAGGCGAAAGGCTTGTGAGTGCTTATTGGAAGGGAAGGGGCAATATTTGGACTGCACTTCGGAGTTCATATCGTAAACACAATCACCCAGCCGTTCTAATCGTACCTACAGTTTTCTTAGAAAAGTACAAAATCCTGTTTGCAAAGGCTTAAACGTGGGGAATTGAAAAGTTGATCCCTCCCCGGGGGGTAATCATCAGTTTGAGCGGATCAGTAAATATGGTGTGTCTTTCTTTCAAGAAGTCGCTTCCTGCACGAAGAAAAGCTGCTTAATTAAGNTTATTGGAAGGGAAGGGGCAATATTTGGACTGCACTTCGGAGTTCATATCGTAAACACAATCACCCAGCCGTTCTAATCGTACCTACAGTTTTCTTAGAAAAGTACAAAATCCTGTTTGCGAAGGCTTAAACTTGGGGAATTGAAAAGTTGATCCCTCGCCGGGGAGTAATCATCAGTTTGAGCGGATTAGTAGCGAAAATATGGTATGTCTTTCCTTGAAAAAGTCGTTTCCTGCACGAAGAAAAGCTGATTAATTAAGTGCACGCAAAATAACTACAGTAATCTCAGTACAATAACAGCACTGCAATTGGTCTCTGCTTTTTTTTCAGGACGTCATTCCTGGTGTTATGACGTGGAAACGGTTTCCATGCCAACCTCTGGTCTCCATGGCAGCAAATCCAACGATATCAAACGTTTGGATTCCTCGCTGGTAAGCTAGTGATTTCCTTGATGTGATGAAACCTTTTACATGCATGTGTTACTTTTTGATTCGTTCACGCGATCACGCGCTGGTGACTTGCGTGACACTGGTTTCTTTACTTTTGATTCGTCCAAGCGATCGTGGCGTATGTGACACGCGTGTCACGCTTAACGTTATCTGTCAGTTTTGATTCATTGAAGCGTTCGTGGCTTGCGTGACACTCGTTTTAAACTTCTGTTCAGCGTTTGACGCTATTGTGTGCTTAGGTAACTTGTGTGTTTTTTGTTTGATCGTAGGACTGATCCATTCAGTGAGGATTTGCTGCCTACGGAAGTTCCTTCATTGTTACATGGTCTCCCTGATGAAGATGTTATGAGCGATGATGAAATGTATTTTTTATTTATTTATTTATTTATTTATTTATTTAT